GCCATTACTTTTAAGCACTTTCTACTGAGGCACAGCCAAATAGTACTAGAAATTATCCCACTAATATGTATATCTATAAAACTGAGCAAAAGCATCCACCCACAAATGAAGATCCTGTGCAGCACCTTGGCTCCCTGAAAGCACCCAGGAATGAAGCCAACTGACTGTACTCAATTTACAGCATAATTTTAACACCAACCATCCCAGATAAGAAAAATCAGCACAAGAAATTTGGCAATTAAAAGAGCCATAGTCTATCCTTACCTTCAAATGGGTCTACTACCTCTCTGACAATGGTTCATAACCAGTCTGAAACGATTGAAATAACAGAAACAGAATTCAGAATCTGGATGGCAAGGGAACTCACTGATTCAGAAGAAAATAGAAACACAATACAGGGAAACCAAGGAATCCAGTAACATTATCTAAGAGCTGAAACAAAATAACCATTTTAAGAAATAACTAAACTGAACTTCTGGAAATGAAAAAGTTACTACAAGAATTTCAGAATACTATCAGAATTAGGAATAGCAGAAGAGACCAAGCTGGGGAAAGAATATCAGAGATTGAGCTCCCCTTATTTGAATCAGCTCAGTCAGATGAAAATAAAGAAAAAGGAATTTTGAAAATGAACATGACCTCTGAGAAATACGAGATTATGAAAAGAGAACAAATTTGCTACTTTTTGGCATTCCTGAGATGGAAAAAGAGAACAAACAACTTGAAAAATATACTTGAGGATATAGTCCATGAAAATTTCCCTAATCTTGCTAGGAAGATTGACACAAATCCAAGAAATACAGAGAAACCTGGCTGGATACTACAAAAAATTACCATCCTCAAGGCATATATTCATCTTATTCACCATGGTCAAAGGAAAATAAAAAGTCTTGAAGGCAGCTAGAGAGAAAGGTCAAGTCACACAGAGGGTATCCCATCAGGCTGGCAACAGAACTCTCAGCAAAAACTTTGCAAGCCAGAAGAAAGTGGCGGCCTTTTTCTCAGCATCCTTAAGGAAAAGAAATTCCAACCAAGAATTTTATGTCCTGCCAAACTAAGCTGTGTAAGTGAAGAGGAAATAAAATCCTCAGACAACAAATGCTGAGGAAACATGTTTCTACTAGACCAGCATTACAAAAGGCCCTTAAGGGAGTGCTAAACATGGAAACCCCCTCAAAAAAAAATGACACCTGCTACCACAAAAACACGCAACTACATAGCTCATAGGCACTACAAAGCAGCTACACAATCAAATCTGCAGAACATCCAGCTAACAACACGATGAGAGGTTCAAAGTTACACACAACAGTATTAATTTTGAATGTAAAGAGGCTAAACACCACACACACTTAAATGACATAGAGACCCAAGCTGGATAAAAAACAAGATTCAACTATCTGTTATCTTCAAGAGACCAGTCTCACATGTAACAACACCCACAGTCTCAAAGCAAAGGGATAAAGATCTATTATGCAAATGGAAAACAAAACAGAGTAGGAGTCACCACTACATTTACATCAGATAAAACAAACATTAAACCAATAAAAAAATAAGGAAAATGAAAGACATTACATAATGATAAAGAGTAAAACTTAACAAGAAGACTTAATTATTCTAAATATGTAAGCACCCAATGTCAGAGCAATAAGATTCAGAAAACAAGTTCTTAGAGATCCACAGAGATTTACAAGTCACACAATTTAACAGTGGGAGACTTTAACGAATTATCAAGGCAGAAAGCTAACAAAGAAACTCTGGATTTAAATTGACACTTGACCAATTGGAGCCAATAGACATCTACAGAACACTCCAACAACCAACCACAGAATGTACATTCTTTTCATCTGCACATGGAATGTATTCTAAGATTGACCACACACTTGGTCATAATACAAGATTCAATAAATTTAAAAAAAAAAATACTTCCAAGCACACTCTCAGACCATAGTACAATAAAAATAGAAATTAATATCAAGATTTATAAAAACTGTGCAAATACTTGGAAATTAAATAACTTGCTTCTGAATAACTCCTGGTTGAACATCAAAATCAAGTCAAAAATAAAACATTATTAGAAATTAATAAACATAGGGACACAATTTACCAATATTTCCAGGATGCAGCTAAAGCAATATTAAGAGGAAAGTTTATAGCCCAAAATATCATCATCAAGAAGTTAGAAAAAGCTGAAACTAACAATTTTCATACCAAAATGAACTAGGAAAAAACAAAAGAAAACAAAACAAAAATCAATATCAAAGCTAGCAGAAGAAAAGAAATAACTAAAAATAGAGAAAAATTTAATGAAATTGAGATGCAAAAATTTATACAAAAGATTCATGATATGAAAAGTTCGTTCTTTGAAAAAATAAACAAAATTGATAGACTGCTAACTAGATTAATTTTTAAAAACCAAAAAAATCCATGTAAGTACAATAAAAAGTGACAAAGATGATATTACACCTGATCAGACAGAAATGCAAAAGATCCACAGAGAATACTATCAACAACTCTATGCACAAAAAATGAGAAAATCCAGAGGAAACTGACAAATTCCTGGAAACATGCAATCTCCCAAAATTGAAAAAGGTCTGAAATACTGAAATGGCCAACACTGAGCTCTGAAATTGAGTTAGTAATAATTAAAAAACAAAACAAAACAAAACCAAAAAAACCCTACCAACCAAAAAATTCCCAAGCAGATGGATTTATAGCCAAATTCTACCAGACATTTAAAGAACTGGTATCAACCCTACTGAAACTATTACAAAACAACAACAACAACAACAACAGGAGGGACTCCTCCATAATTCATTCCATGAAGCCAGCATCAGCCTAATATCAAAATCTGGCAGAGACCTGACAAAGAAAAACAACTTCAGGCCAATATCCCTGATGATCATTAATGTAAAATCCTCAACAAAACATTTGCAAACCAAATCCAGCAGCATATCAAAAATTTCTTTCACCACTATCAAGTAGGCTATACTCCTACGATGCAAGGTTGGTTCAACATATGCAAATTAATAAATGTTATTCACCATAAAAAATGCAACAAAAAGCAAAAACTATTTGATTATCTCAATGAATCCAGGAAAAGTTTTGATAAAATCCAACTTTTTTTTTTTTTTTTTTTTTTTTTTTTTTTCTGAGACAGAGTCTTGCTCTGTCACTCAGGCTGGTGTGCAGTGGCATGATCTAGGCTCACTGCAACCCCTCACTCCCGGATTCAAGCAATTCTCCTGCCTCATCCTCCCGAGTAACTGGGATTACAGATGCCCCCTATTACACTTGGCTAATTTTTGTATTTTTAGAAGAGACAGGGTTTCACCATGTTGGCCAGGCTGACCTCATTCTCCTGATCTGCCCATCTTGGCCTCCTAAAGTGCTGGGATTACAGGTGTGAGCCACTGTGCCCAGCTGATAAAATCCAACTTTTTTTTCATGATAAAATCCTCAGCAGTATAGGCATTGGAGAAATATACGTTAAAATAATATAAGCCACCTTTGACAAACCTACAGCCAACATCATACTGAATGGGCAAAAGCTGGAACTATTCCTGTTTAGAACTGGAACAAGATAAGCATGCCCACTCTCACCACTACTATTCAACATAGTACCGTAAGTTCTAGCCAGATCGATCAGGAAAGATAAAGAAATAAAAGGCATCAAAATAGGAAAAGAATAGAACAAATTATCTCCTTTTGCTGACAATATCATTTTATTATTTATTTATTTATTTATTTATTTTTATTTTTTTAGAGCTCAAAAGCATTTACTTATGGAATATCATTTGTCAAGGGTTATAGAGACATACAGGCTTATGGAGAGCCTAACTCTTGGCTACATAGAGTTTTAGGTTGGAAATAACTTTTTGTAAGAATTCCGAAGGCATTTCTCTGTTACCTTCTTTCTAGTTTCCAAAGATGCTGTTGAGAAGCTTGAAGACATTTTTATTCTTGATCCTTTATATGTAACATTATATGTAACAATGTGCCCCTCCTCCTATCCCTACATGCTTACAGAATCTTCCTGTACTTGGGTGTTCTTGTATCTCACAAATAAATGCTCTGGAGTTGGTCTATTTTCATCCATTGTGCTGTGACCTTTTGACTCTGGAAATTCTATCAATCAGTTATGGAAAATTCTTAATTACTTCGATGACTTCTTCCCTCCTGTTCTCTCAGGTTATTCGGCTATTGACTTTCCAGACTGGTCCTCCTCTTTTCTCTTTGCTGTTTTCTTTTTTGGCTCCACTTTCTGTGAGTTTGTCAACTTTAATTCCTAATTTTCAATTGAATTTTAACTTCTGCTACTATATATTTTTAATTTCTAAGAGCTGTTTTGTTCTGTTTCTTATAATAATAGCATCTTGTATATTATTATGACTGTAGTATCTTACCTATCTGAGAATATATTTTTTTCATTTTTGAGACAGAGTCTGGCTCTGTCACCCAGGCTGGAGTGCAGTGTCACAATCACAACTCATTAAAGGCCTGAACTCCTGGACTCAATCTTCCTGCCTCAGCCTCCCAAATAGCTGGGACTACAGGCACACACCACCATGTCTCGCTAGTTTATGTATTTTTTGTAGAGATGGGGGTCTCACTATGTTGTTCAGCCTGGTCTCAAATTTCTGAGCTCAAGTTATCCTCCCACCTTGGCCTCCCAAAGTGCTGGGATTTACAGGCATGAGCCACCACACCCAGCCTGAAGATATAGTTTTAAAAAAAAAAGTTTTCTTATCACACCATGTTTTCTCCATAGTCTTTCCTAGATTTGCTTTGCTCCTTGTCTTTCACAATGTAGAACTGCCTTATCTGGTTCATGTTCATGTTTTAAAGTGGGAAGCTAAAACATGGTTTAGAAGCTGTGTCGGTCTGGTAGGGGGTGGTTTGTTGAACCTCTCTGCTCCATGTCCTGGCTTGGCCATCTGTTGGGAAACTCAATTTCAACAACTTTAGTAGGTCTTTTCTCTTAGGCTGGTCAAATTCTCCACAAGACTCTTCCAATTTCCTTTTTGACTCCATTTCTCTCAATTTAGATCCAGCTGTGAGTTGCATGTTCTTTCTCTGCCAGTTTAAATCCTGAATATGTTTTCTTAACTTCTGAAGTTCTTTCTGTGTGTGTTCAATTATGTGAACTAGATTTTCGTTGTATACTTTCCAGGCATTACATCCATGTTGTGACATTAGCTCCAGATTCTCAATTCTAACTGCTTGATGCTCTAACTGGGCCTTATAATTATTTACACATTCTTGCCAGGCAGTGATGTCATTTTTTTGACCAGAGGGAGGGGCTGGAAGCTCATATCGTTTCATACTGGTCAATTCAATTGGCTGTGGAGCAGCCAGTCTTTCAAATTCATTTCTCATTATGTCAGTTTCAAAGGCAGAATAATCCAGGGCTGTCAGGTAGCTCAGGTAGTACTTAGTAGGTAGGTATCTGCGAGTTTCCTCCTCCACCAGTGCTGCAGCTGCTTCCCGCACACCAGGAGCTTCATAACCTTGATCAAAATACGGTAGTGCATCCATCACAACCTCTCCAGCCACCAAACCCGTGCCCACCATACTGGAAAACTCAGATTTGGCTGCGTTTTCTATGTCTGCATAAACTCAGTTCTGACAATATCATTTTATATGTAGAAAACCCTAAAGACACCACCAAATGAGTACTAGAACTGATAAATGAATGTAGCAAGATTTCAGTAAATAAAATGAAAGTACAAAAAATTAGTAGCATTTCTATACACCAGTAATGCTCAGGCCAGGAGTCAAATCAAGAAAACAGTCCCATTGACAATATCTGCAAAGATAATTAAATATTTCAAGATACAACTAAATAAGGAGGTGAAATATTGCTTCAAGGACAACTAAAAACACTGCTAAAAGAAATCAGAGATGACACAACAAACTGAAAAAATATTCCATGCTCATAGATTAAAAGAATCAACATTAACATGGCCATTCTGCCTAAATCAATTTATAGATTTAACACTATTGCTATCAAACAACTAACATCATTTTTCTAGAATTAGCAAAAAAATAAAAAATAAAAAATAAAACTATTCTAACATTTACATGGAATCGAAAAGTCCCCCAAATCCAAAGCAATCCTAAGCACAAAGACTAAAAGCTATACAAAATCTATAATAACCAAACTTCAAGCTATACTATGTCTATGATAACCCAACTTCAAGCTATACTGTAAGTCTATAATAACCAAAACAGCATGATACTGATACAGAAACAGACACATAGACCAATAGAACAGAATAGAAAACTCAGAAATAAGGCCACACACTTAAAACCATATGATCTTTGACAAGACCATCAATAACATGCAATGGGGAAAGGATTCTTTATTCAATAAATCATGCTGGGATAACTGACTGGGCATATGTAGAAGAATGAAACTAGATCATTACATTTCATTGTATACAAAAATTAACTCAAGATGCATTTAGAGGACTTTCAAGATGGCCGCCTAAGAACAGCTCAGGACTTCAGCTCCCAGTGAAAGTGCAGAGGGTGAGTGGACGCCGCATTTCCAGACGAACTCTTATTGCCCACAGACCAGGAGATACGCAGGCAGAGGGGTCGCCAGCGTCGCAGTCCCAGCCGGTGCGGCTGTTTTGGCCCCCGCGGGGCTGATTCCGCCCGCGCGGCTGCTGTGACCACTCCCTGTTGCTGCCGTTCTCCGTAAAAAAGCCACTGGTCTGGGAGCCCTCTTAGCTGGCGAGCAGAGCCCTGAGACGGCAGAGTTCCCCACTTATCTGAAATAGCGAGCCAGGCCAGGAGATTCCTAGGCAAAAAATCCGCCAGGAGCCGGCGCCGCGGTTCGAGCCGACTCCGTGAGTCGCAGCACGGGAGATCCCGGCGCCTTTTCAACAAGCGACCGGAACGCGGGGTCGTTCAACTTAAAAGACTCTGAGTCAGGGAGCCAGGTGATCAGGCTCGGTTGGTCCCACCCCTCCACCCCCAACAACAACGAAAACAAAAACAGTAATTGGAAACCCTCTGGGTTGAGCCCTTCAAACCAAGCACAGCTGAACCGGGACGGTCCGGCTCCGTGGGGGAGGGGCTTCCGCCATTACTGAGACTCTCCACCGCTAGGGAGGCAGGCTGCCGTTGCCGAGGCAACCCGCCGTTGCCGAGGCAACCTGCCACAACAGAGAGAGTCCGCCATAACAGAGGCGGGGCCACCATTGCCCAGACAGTTCTAACTACGCCCATATAAAAAGGACTACAGGGAAGAGCTCAGGGCAGCTGGGCGGAGCCCACAGCAGCTCAGCAAAGCCCCTGCGGGCAGGCAGAGGCTAGGCGTGCTGCTAGCTGGGCGGGTCCGACCTGAAAAAAAAAAAAAAAAATCAAAAAAGGCAGTAGTGCAAGGGAAACTCATAAAGCTCCAACTCCCTGGGACAGAGACAGACAACAGGTGGATAAACCCACAAAAATGGGTAGAAACCAGCGTAAAAAGGATGAAAACTCCCGAAACCAGAACACCTCTCCTCCTAAAAGTGATCACAACTCCTCACCAGCAAGGGAACCAGACCGGATGGAGAAGGAGGGTGATGAAATGACAGAATCAGACTTCAGAAGATGGGTAGTAAGAAACTACAATGAGCTAAAAGAACATGTTCTAACCCATCGCAAAGAAAATAGGAACCTTGAAAAAAGATTGGACGAACTGCTGACGAGAATGGACAGCATAGAGAGGAGAATAAGTGAATTGATGGAGCTGAAAAACGCAACACGAGAACTTCGTGAAGCATGCACAAGCTTCAACAGCCGAATTGACCAAGCAGAAGAAAGGATATCAGAGGTCGAAGACCAACTCAATGAAATAAAAAGAGAAGGCAAGAACAGAGAAAAAAGCGCAAAAAGGAATGAACAAAATCTTCAAGAAATGTGGGACTATGTGAAAAGACCTAATCTACGTCTGATAGGTGTACCTGAATGTGATGAAGAGAATGAATCCAAGCTGGAAAATACTCTTCAGGATATTATCCAGGAAAACTTCCCCAACCTAGCAAGGCAGACCAATATTCAAATCCAGGAAATACAGAGAACACCACAGAGATATTCCTCAAGAAGAGCAACCCCAAGGCACATAATCGTCAGATTCACCAGGGTTGAAATGAAAGAGAAAATGCTAAGGGCAGCCAGAGAGAAAGGTCGGGTTACCCACAAAGGGAAGCCCATTAGACTCACAGCAGATCTCTCAGCAGAAACCCTACAAGCCAGAAGAGACTGGGGGCCAATATTCAACATCCTTAAAGAAAAGAACTTTCAACCCAGAATCTCCTATCCAGCCAAACTCAGCTTCATAAGTGAAGGAAAAATAAAATCCTTTGTGAACAAGCAAGCACTCAGAGATTTCATCACCACCAAACCTGCTCTACAAGAACTCCTGAAAGAGGCTCTACACATATAAAGGAACAACCAGTACCAGCCACTCCAAAAACACACCAAATGGTAAAAAAGCAGCAACACAATCAAGAATCTGCATCAACTAACCAACAAAACAGCCAGGTAGCATCAAAATGACAGCATCAAATTCACACATAACAATACTATCCCTAAATGTCAATGGACTAAATGCCCCAATCAAAAGACACAGACTGGCAAACTGGATAAAAAGCCGAAACCCATCAGTGTGCTGTATCCAGGAAACCCATCTTACATGCAAGGATACACAAAGGCTCAAAATAAAGGGATGGAGGAAGATCTACCAAGCAAATGGAGAGCAAAAAAAGGCAGGAGTTGCAATTCTCATCTCTGATAAAATAGACTTTAAAGCAACAAAGATCAAAAGAGACAAAGAAGGACATTACATAATGGTAAAAGGATCACTGCAACAAGAAGAGCTAACGATCCTAAATATATATGCACCCAATACAGGAGCACCCAGATACATAAGGCAAGTTCTTAATGACTTACAAAGAGACTTAGACTCCCACACAATAATAGTGGGAGACTTTAACACCCCATTGTCAATATTAGACAGATCAACCAGACAGAAAATCAACAAGGATATCCAGGACCTGAACACAGACCTGGAACGAGCAAACCTAACAGACATTTACAGAACTCTCCACCCCAAATCCACAGAATATACATTCTTCTCAGCACCACATCATACCTACTCTAAAATTGACCACATAATTGGCAATAAATCACTCCTCAGCAAATGCAAAAGAACAGAAATCATAACAAACAGTCTCTCAGACCACAGTGCAATCGAGTTAGAACTCAGAATGCAGAAACTAACTCAGAACCGCACAGCTTCATGGAAACTGAACAACTTGCTCTTGAATGTTGACTGGATAAACAATGAAATGAAGGCAGAAATAAAGATGTTCTTCGAAACCAATGAGAACGAAGACACAACATACCAGAATCTCTGGGACACATTTAAAGCAGTCTCTAGAGGAAAATATATAGCAATGAGTGCCCACATGAGAAGAAAGGAGAGATCTAAAATTGACACCCTATCATCAAAATTGAAAGAGCTAGAGGAGCAAGATCAAAAAAACTCAAAACCTAGCAGAAGACAGGAAATAACTAAGATCAGAGCAGAACTGAAGGAAATAGAGACACAAAAAACTCTTCAAAAAATCAATAAATCCAGGAGCTGGTTTTTTGAAAAGATCAACAAAATAGACAGACCACTAGCCAGATTAATAAAAAAGAAAAGAGAGAATAACCAAATTGATGCAATAAAAAACGATAAAGGGGATATCACCACAGATTCCACAGAAATCCAAACCATCATCAGAGATTATTACAAACAACTCTATGCACATAAACTAGTAAACCTGGAAGAAATGGATAAATTCCTGGACACCTGCAACCTCCCAAGCCTAAACCTGGAAGAAGCCGAAACCCTGAATAGACCAATAACATGGTCTGAAGTCGAGGCAGCAATAAAGAGCCTACCACCCAAAAAAAACCCAGGTCCAGATGGGTTCACAGCCGAATTCTACCAGACATACAAAGAGGAGCTGATACCATTCCTTCTGAAACTATTCCAGACAATCCAAAAAGAGGGAATCCTTCCCAAATCATTTTACGAGACAAACATCATCCTGATACCAAAACCCGGCAGAGACTCAACAAGAAAAGAAAATTTCAGGCCAATATCCATGATGAACATAGATGCAAAAATCTTCAATAAAATACTGGCAAACCGATTGCAACAGCATATCAAAAAGCTCATCCACCATGATCAAGTAGGATTCATCCCGGGGATGCAAGGCTGGTTCAACATACGCAAGTCCATAAACGTAATTCACCACATAAACAGAACCAAAGACAAAAACCACATGATTATCTCAATTGATGCAGAGAAGGCTTTTGACAGAATTCAACAACCCTTTATGCTAAAAACCCTCAATAAACTAGGTATTGACGGAACGTATCTCAAAACAATAAAAGCTATTTACGACAAACCAACAGCCAATATCATACTGAATGGGCAAAAACTGGAAGCATTCCCTTTGAAATCTGGCACTAGACAAGGATGCCCTCTCTCACCACTCCTATTCAATATAGTACTGGAAGTTCTA